ATACTTGCTAGTAAAGAACTATCTCAGTAATCTTTTTCAGAATATGATTATTCCTAACTGAAAATATCATTGAAAGAACTATGAACCTGTTTAAAAGGTAACTTTATGCTGAATCTTTTCCATCAGTATAAAGCGAGTTATATAGTCTATAAAAATGTTGTACATCGACCAAATCGTTTCCCCCATACAGGTAAATATGGCCGTGCTATCGAGGTTGGTAAAGAAGCACTAAAGGTACTTCCTGACGAAGCAGACCTGGTGATTAATCTTGCAAATGTGTACACGAAGGTAGAGAAGTTCAAGGAAGGCGAACGCCTGTTGCAGGCAGCCATCAAGGGAAACAAGAATCCACTTTTACATCATAGTCTAGGTATTGCATTTCAATCAGAGATTCTGTACCATATGTAAACAATCATTTGACTTAAACGTCTAGACGTCAGGCAGTTCCATATTTGTATATCTCATATAAGACCAAAGAAGCAGAAGAAGGTCCAAAAATATTCGAGAACCTACACTTCAAACATAACCTGACATAATTTCTCCAAAAATGCTTTTGTTTCAGGCATGTTATATTATCGTTGGGAAAAGTACGAGGAAGCTGAGAAAGCCATGTTGAGGGCAAAGCAGCTGTCGCCAAGTGATCCTCTAATCCTCAATGACCTGCAGATGCTTCATAGAAAAATGGGCAAAATCAAGTAAAATTGATTTCTGAGACGTTATACATTTATCACATTTGTACATGTTGTGGGAGCGGCTAAACAGAAGAGGTATGCTGACCTGATGTGAAGATTGTGCCTAGTCATGAAAGGAAGAATGGAAAAGCGCATAATATATTAATTTTGCAGTTTTACTTCAGAAATGGTATTTAGGACAAATCGCTTTGGTCCAAAATGTACAGTACAACCTAATTATAATGCCAAATGTTTCAATGTACAAAAGGTGGCATTATAACCAGGTTGTACTATATGTCCAATTTCTTCAGGGTGATATTAATACATTATAATGTAAGCTCAAAAACATATCATTGTTCTCATACTTCTTTTGTGTTTTTCACTAAAAAATCATGTCAATTTAACTATAGATTAGCTTCAGGGTATTTTAGAATATGCTCGACATATATGTGAAACCAATGCAAACATGTAGTTTATGTTTTGTCAGATGATATTGTATAGATATATTTATTATATTTTTAGAGGTAAGTTAATGCATTAAAGACATGATTCTCATTTAATTGTATTGTATTTGTGTTTTATATGTGTCTGAAGTGCTATTGGTGCTATTTCACAGCAGGAGACACAAGATAGATAGCACATGTGAGCCTGTGGAGCGCTGGTTTTCCACTTGTATCACAGATTGACAGTTTCATGTATATAGAGGGTCTAAAGTTTTCGCTGACGTTTACCAATTTTTGAAGCCAACTGGGTCAGATGTGGTCCAGACGTCCACGAAGAGTGGAACCTGGCATTACTGACAGACGCAAAGCAACACAGCAAACTGCATCGCTCGGCCACTTGATGGTAAAGACTGTAGAAGAGAAAATGGGTTTCTTGCTATGACTACGTTTCAGAGTCATGTGAAGTCTTCATTCGGGCACAAAAGCTCGAAGTCACGTCAATACAGGACGTGGGCAAAATAGCACATCCAGACACATCAAGCAGGCAATGGACCCCCTGAAGATCTGGGTTAGTATTGGTCTTCAGCAGCTAAAGACACGACTAAAGGGATCGGGAGGTCAGGCTCGTTGACTTTGCTGATGCATGTCGTCGTATCCCTATTGCATCGATCGATGTTCATGATGTCAATCCCCTGGATTGTCCCACCCAGACTAGACTATTTACAGGCCGCCAGTATGTGTTGGTGCACCTTGTGTGACATTATGAAAGACTTACGAGACTGTACACAAGAGAGCATTGCGGAAGCTGGTGTCGGCCGACTCGGTCTAGTTCAACGCTGGCTGTAAAACATGTAGACTTACGAGACTGTACACAAGAGAGCATTGCGGAAGCTGTTGTCGGCTGACTCGGTCTAGTTCAACGCTGGCTGTAAAACATGTAGACTTACGAGACTGTACACAAGAGAGCATTGCGGAAGCTGGTGTCGGCCGACTCGGTCTTGTTCAACTGTGGCTGTAAAACATGTAGACTTACGAGACTACACACAAGAGAGCATTGCGGAAGCTGTTGTCGGCTGAATCGGTCTAGTTCAACGCTGGCTGTAAAACATGTAGACTTACGAGACTGTACACAAGAGAGCATTGCGGAAGCTGGTGTCCGCTGACTCGGTCTAGTTCAACGCTGGCTGTAAAACATGTAGACTTACGAGACTACACACAAGAGAGCATTGCGGAAGCTGTTGTCGGCTGACTCGGTCTAGTTCAACGCTGGCTGTAAAACATGTAGACTTACGAGACTGTACACAAGAGAGCATTGCGGAAGCTGGTGTCGGCCGACTCGGTCTTGTTCAACTGTGGCTGTAAAACATGTAGACTTACGAGACTACACACAAGAGAGCATTGCGGAAGCTGTTGTCGGCTGACTCGGTCTAGTTCAACGCTGGCTGTAAAACATGTAGACTTACGAGACTGTACACAAGAGAGCATTGCGGAAGCTGTTGTCGGCTGACTCGGTCTAGTTCAACGCTGGCTGTAAAACATGTAGACTTACGAGACTGTACACAGGAGAGCATTGCGGAAGCTGTTGTCGGCCGACTCGGTCTTGTTCAACTCTGGCTGTAAAACATGTAGACTTACGAGACTACACACAAGAGAGCATTGCGGAAGCTGGTGTCGGCTGACTCGGTCTAGTTCAACGCTGGCTGTAAAACATGTAGACTTACGAGACTACACACAAGAGAGCATTGCGGAAGCTGTTGTCGGCCGACTCGGTCTTGTTCAACTGTGGCTGTAAAACATGTAGACTTACGAGACTACACACAGGAGAGCATTGCGGAAGCTGTTGTCGGCCGACTCGGTCTTGTTCAACTGTGGCTGTAAAACATGTAGACTTACGAGACTACACACAAGAGAGCATTGCGGAAGCTGGTGTCGGCCGACTCGGTCTTGTTCAACTCTGGCTATAAAACATGTAGACTTACGAGACTGTACACACAGGAGAGCATTGCCGAAGCTGGTGTCAGCCGACTCGGTCTTGTTCAACTCTGGCTATAAAACATGTAGACTTACGAGACTACACACAGGAGAGCATTGCCGAAGCTGGTGTCGGCCGACTCGGTCTTGTTCAACTCTGGCTATACAACATGTAGACTTAAGAGACTACACACAGGAGAGCATTGCGGAAGCTGGTGTCGGCTGACTCGGTCTTGTTCAACTCGCCTGTATATTATGTAGACTTACGAGACTACACACACAAGAGAGCATTGCAGAAGCTGGTGTCGGCCGACTCGGTCTTGTTCAACTTGCCTGTACAACTCCCAAGTACATCCATGCCTCCAAGTTGAGTTGTGATCTGTAGCGTTGTCACTTGGGAGAAAGAACCAGAATACAGGTCCTGTATTTCCCCGAGTCTCGATCATGTATGTGGTGATTGATGAAACTTAACCATCATCGTCAATTTTTTAATGAACGAGTGTAATTGGCTAAACATATGGGTCTTCTGCATCACAATACAAGGCACGCATTGCTCCTTTTGGCGGCAGATGGAAAATAACACGAACGCCTTAACAGGACAGCATCTATCAGACCTCCAATAGTTCAACAAAATCCACAGGGTACATAATATGACACTGACGGAAACATTGGATGGAGTAGGCACGGTGTTGCAGGAAAGCAGTTTAAAACGTCATGTGGCTTCACTGTGGTCAGTCTATTGCATTATTGAATATTACATGATTTGGAATTCATGACCGCTTCCCGTCTTATTCCGAATGTTTAATGTATGCGCCTGTGCGTCAGGTGGAAGATACTAACTGTCGGCGTGTCACATGTTTTATTGATAAAATTATCCTATACTCCTCTCCATGATATTTAGCATCTGGTTTCGTATGGCACATTTTGTTTGCATACAACGGACTTGTCGAACAACCGAAAACCACTTTCCTGTTGATGGAGTATCGGCACATGATTGGTAGCAGAGACTTTATATGTGTAGGGTAAACATGGAAGTATCATATAAACAATTTACAAGTGTTCTAGTTCAATATTCATAATTTAAACATTGTTTAATAAATACTTTCTTCTTTCATACGCATGATAAATAAACAGACATAGTGACTTTATTAGTGCAGTGTCGTTTGTGGATATTATTTCTTTAAATGTATGCATATTACATAAGTGTCACATGTTTTAAAAGATATTTAATTCCAGTAGCATCAAAGGTAGATTAAAAAAATAATATTCATCCTCTATACGTCGATCACATTAGGGACAGTTTCTCATGCATATTTCAATCAGTTAACAGTAAATGTCAGCTATGTTTAACGGAATGATTTATCTTTTTAAGCCCCTTGTGGGATAATTCGGATCCATTTTACTCTGGCAACACTGACACGAGTGGCCCAATGTCTAGGACGCCACAATTCACTTTGTAGAATTACATCCCAAGCCGTGCCAGGAACCACACGTGGTGGGTTCGAATCCCTGCTTCGCTCTGCCTGTGTCACTTGGTCTGTCAGTACCATATCTGTCTTCGTTGTTTTCACTGAAGCGATAAAATCGACGACCTGCGTCACTTTGGGCCTCCTCTTCGGACGACATGCCTTTTAACCGAAGAGTGTACGTGTGTCTTTTTTATTACAAATTACATGGAATGCGTTCCGGAATAGTTACAAAAATGATACACACGTAAGTCGTGCATTTAATGTATCCTGGCGTGTATCGTTCAAACCCGTGCCAGAGGAAAAGTCGATTTCTGCAGTCGATACGGCACATATGTTCACACAACAATCTATATTTGACTCAATTGATACCTCCTGCGACACAAACCGCTCTGTGAATGGCCATAGTTTAATACGTGACGTTACATCTACATCCGTGTTTACACGGATGTGACCTGTTTGAGGATCAGTGAGTATCAAGTCAGCAGCAAGGATGTCATTGGGAAGGGAATTTGTTTAGTCCTATATCGACATGGTCTTTTGGAGTCAGCCAGTATTTCCTCAACACATGTGAGTTGGAAAAACAGCCTTCTGTACAAAGACAAGCGACGTTGTTGTCAACAAGCTGTTATTTCCCCGTGTATCGTGTGTTTACGTCGAGGCATGGCACATGACTAGGTAAGTAAATGTCACAGTGTCTAAAATCATTATGGTAAAAATGCAACCTTTATGTGAAACTCTCAAACACTTGATATTAAATCAATATGTGAGTGAGTTGGGTTTAACGCCGCTTTTAACTGTATTCCAGTTATATCACGGCGTGTCAGCTTAATGTGGGAGGAAAGCCCGAAGTGATGCAGGTCTCAGACGTTTACCACTTTGGGGAAACCCACAAACCTAGGAACATAATTGGGGAGAACCGGGATTCGAACCCACAATCATAGGTTTCTGGCGTGCCCAAGGGACGCAACTCTGCACAGCGAATCGCGGCGCCTTAGACGACTGGGCCATCCGTGCCCCCACATCTATGTATTTTGCTAGCAATTCGATATTCTACCGGACGTGTATGTGCCAATAATCTGTAATCATAGGGGCAAATCACGGATCGGCCTCATTATGTTTTTATATAGTCTAATTTGCTTGTATATTGAGAAAGAAAATCCGAAGAATAATCACTGTAAGAGTATATTGTAAAACATTGTTACATAGATGGTGGTTGTCATTTGACGCTAGTCTCTTTCATACTGTCACTATATAATCACCACATGGACATTCATCACTTGAACATTATGACGTCACAATAGTGATGCGTAATATACTACCGTTAGTATACAACGTCTCAATGACCGTTTCTTTTTCTCTAAGTTGGTCCGTTTAATTAATATTAAAATCTCCACAAAGGGCTGAATTGCTGCTGCGGAGGAGGAGCTTGTGTTTTGAATATGTGCAATATGACATATACACGCGGCATTCGTCACCACTCGCCTCTTTCCGTAACCTGAAAGAAGACTCGTCCCCCTATCGATGAATGTTATGTGCGAAAATACGACAAACCAATCAGACTGCGCGTATGATTTCAAATTCTTCGTCAAAGAATCCCTCAGAAATATGTTTTGATTTTACGTATGTCTTGCATCCAAAAAGATGCCCAAGATACAGTTAAATGTGTTCAATCATACTGTATAATTCCACACGTCCCGATGTGGTTTAAATTGCATCTGAAATATATGTAAAACATGGGGAAATAAATGTGAACCATTTCGCAGAGAATTGACAATTGTCTTAGGTATGCCCGTTTGCGCTAAAACGGAACCCGGTCGCAAAAATGGCCATGACAGGGGCACGAGTCGCTATTCGTCTTGTCCTAAACTCTTCTCAAACATATTCGGCTCAACCAATTTCAGATCACACAATACTTCCCCTGTCACCAAAATGGTTCACATTTATATTGCCATGTAGAATGCAGATAAATCAAGTGTGTTCTTTTAATGAATCTCGAAATGGGATAATTTCAAAGCGCTTTTCCAAATGAGATTCATAGATATCGAATGTTCATTTGAAACTTCTAAATTGAAAATACATCAGATAATAAGACTTGAGGCCTCGTATACACCATTAACCATCAACATATGAATCGCTCCGCATTTCGAAACGGTGCATAGTCAATGGACGAGTAGGTGCAGTTGGGTGATAAGCTAGCTACAGACGTGGTCTATCGCCATGGCGTCAAATATCTGTTGAATGAATCTATGCTGTGTACTCACATTAGGCCATTCATAAATTATCAAATTTTCAGCCCCATCCTCCCGAGAACTAAAAACCACGCTTTGTATACTTGTATGGTCCAGAGGTAGAGGGGGCTAAAGAAAATCGCTGTATGTACGTACACCTGATCCTTTCTTTCTCTATATGATGGACTACACCATATACGTAGTCCTACAAAACATTCACGATTCGTGTGTATCGCATCAGGCGACAGACAATGTAAACAGATAATTAGTTAATTTCTAAGAAAAAATAAAATATAAAAAAGAACTCTTGTCTCAGGATTAAAATTGTGTAATGAAAGACTAATAATAAATTTATTGTTGCTTTATGGGGAATGAAATGGGCTTAACATTGGAGCTGCAACACAGGTTTCTCAATGCATATAGTTCTACCAAGTTATCGTACTTTGTATCTTTTAATTGCTATATGATGATTATATAGATTTACTTACACAAACTTTGTAATTTGATCAACAGAATAATAAACGTGTGATGATGGCCACAAGTACATCGACCTCCAGATTCCCCAAGACCGATGGCCATGTAAGCAGCTACCAGCAACAAGAATGGGATTACGCGCTGCCTGTACCCAAACTCAGCTTCTCTGTGGCATCTGTCCTCGTCTTCTGTCTGGCGGTACTGTGCTTCGCGAACAGTCATGACGGAGCGTTTATTTTTGATGATCTGTCGGCCATTACTACAAACAAAGACTTGCTCCCCGAGGCCCCGCTCTCAACCATTTTCGCTCATGACTTTTGGGGAAATAAGTTGGACAACAGAAGTCACAAGTCCTACAGACCCCTCACGGTGATGACGTACAGGTGAGCCATGGGCGCTATGATACAGCTGGAATATTTCTCACTGGGGCGTAAAATATCCTTCCTTCGAGTACCCTCACATTGATATAAGGATCAGCGCACATATAACTAAAACGGGGGCACGGGTGGCCCAGTCGTCTAAGGCGCCGCGATTCGCTGTGCAGAGTTGCGTCCCTTGGGCACGCCAGAAACCTATGATTGTGGGTTCGAATCCCGGTTCGCCCCGATTATGTTTCTAGGTTTGTCAGCACCATACCCGTGCTCGTGGGTTTCACCGAAGTGGTAAACGTCTGAGACCTGCATCACTTCGGGCTTTCCTCCCACATTAAGCTGACACGCCGTGATATAACTGGAATAGTGTTAAAAGCGGCGTTAAACCCAACTCACTCACTCACTATAACTAAAACTGTTTATTTATCCCTGTATCTGGAAACACTAACTCTAGTCTAGTAAATAGAGCGGAAGATCGGTGGTAAGATCCCCTGGCCCCGTCATGCCAAAAGATGGTACTTGTTACCGTTCTTGACGTTCGGAGTCGGTATACTTGGTCTGAGTGTGGTATCCATGGTATCTCAGTGGGGTAGCTATATAAAACCGGTTTGACCATTACTCGCTCCCTCGCTTCCTCCTTCTATCCTCCTCCTCCCTCCCTCCTCCCTCCCTCCTCCCTCCCTCCTCCCTCCCTCCTCCCTCCCTCCTTCACTCACATACACAAACATTCACTCTTTTGGTTATCATAGTGTCAGTGACATATACTACAATATATAAAAATTTAGTGTTGCTTTATGGGGAATGAAATAGACTTAACATTGGATAGAGTAAATTATACAGCTCATCTGTGGACTTTAAAATTAAAATTATTCTTAATTCCAGGTGGAACTATGCCTGGGCAGGTGGCCTTCATCCTCGGGGCTTCCACGTTGTCAACATCGTCCTGCACGGCTTGGTGTCGGTCATCTTCCTGGCAGTATTCTCTGTCCTCATGTCTGGTTACCAGGTGGACCAGGAATCTGCCAGGCCGGTGTTTGCCTCGCCCCGAGCTTCTCTCCTGTGTGCTGTGTTGTTTGCTGTGCATCCCATTCACACTGAAAGTGTGGGTTCAAACTGCTTCTAATGTTCTAGTTAGCGGTAGAAACGCTTCAAAGCTGGGCCAAGCATAGTTCATTCACATAGTTCACATATGTATGAGCGTCAGTTTATTTATTAAGTAACTGAAAAAGCTTCCAAGCTGCGGTTCGCAAAAGAACGTTCATTTACGATTATATTATTTCAAACCTCTTCGTTAAGAACTAATATTGTGATTGTGCAGCTTCATTAAGAACTAACATGTAAAACAAATGATTTGATGTTAACTTAATATATGCATAAACTACTTCAACAGGTGTCTTGTTTGAGACCTGGTTATCATTGTGTTATCACGATAGCTACAGGAACACTAAAGATGATAACACATGACTGTCTTTGTTTCAATTCTGAAAAAAAAAATTGGAGTTTTTTCACCTTTTGCTTTATATTGCCAGTGTGAGAAATGGCAAATACTTTGCAGTCATACAATTGAAGACATACAGATATTACAAATAAAGCTGTAATCATATACAGTGTCAATATATTATTTGCTCCCTTAATACCCACTTGTTCCAGGTAGCAGGGGTCGTGGGTCGGGCTGATCTGCTGTGTGCCTTGACCTTCCTCCTTTCATTCCTGCTGTACGCCAGGGCCTGCCTCTCACGTAAGTCTTGTGATTGTGCAGCTGATGTGCTGTGATTGTGCAGCCGATGTGTTGTGATTGTGCAACTAATGTGTTGTGATTGTGCAGCTGATGTGTTGTGATTGTGCAACCAATGTGTTGTGATTGGGCAGCTGATGTGTTGTGATTGGGCAACTAATGTGTTGTGATTGTGCAGCTGATGTGTTGTGATTGTGCAACCAATGTGTTGTGATTGGGCAGCTGATGTGTTGTGATTGTGCAACTAATGTGTTGTGATTGTGCAGCTGATGTGTTGTGATTGTGCAACTAATGTATTGTGATTGTACAGCTGATGTGTTGTGATTGTAAAGCTGATGTGTTGTGATTGTAAAGCTGATGTGTTGTGATTGTACAGCTGATGTGTTGTGATTGTAAAGCTGATGTGTTGTGATTGTAAAGCTAATGTGTTGTGATTGTAAAGCTGATGTGTTGTGATTGTAAAGCTGATGTGTTGTGATTGTACAGCTGATGTGTTGTGATTGTAAAGCTGATGTGTTGTGATTGTAAAGCTGATGTGTTGTGATTGTAAAGCTGATGTGTTGTGATTGTAAAGCTGATGTGTTGTGATTGTACAGCTGATGTGTTGTGATTGTAAAGCTGATGTGTTGTGATTGTAAAGCTGATGTGTTGTGATTGTACAGCTGATGTGTTGTGATTGTAAAGCTGATGTGTTGTGATTGTACAGCTGATGTGTTGTGATTGTAAAGCTGATGTGTTGTGATTGTAAAGCTGATGTGTTGTGATTGTAAAGCTGATGTGTTGTGATTGTACAGCTGATGTGTTGTGATTGTAAAGCTGATGTGTTGTGATTGTACAGCTGATGTGTTGTGATTGTAAAGCTGATGTGTTGTGATTGTACAGCTGATGTGTTGTGATTGTAAAGCTGATGTGTTGTGATTGTACAGCTGATGTGTTGTGATTGTAAAGCTGATGTGTTGTGATTGTACAGCTGATGTGTTGTGATTGTACAGCTGATGTGTTGTGATTGTAAAGCTGATGTGTTGTGATTGTAAAGCTGATGTGTTGTGATTGTAAAGCTGATGTGTTGTGATTGTAAAGCTGATGTGTTGTGATTGTACAGCTGATGTGTTGTGATTGTAAAGCTGATGTGTTGTGATTGTAAAGCTGATGTGTTGTGATTGTACAGCTGATGTGTTGTGATTGTACAGCTGATGTGTTGTGATTGTAAAGCTGATGTGTTGTGATTGTAAAGCTGATGTGTTGTGATTGTAAAGCTGATGTGTTGTGATTGTAAAGCTGATGTGTTGTGATTGTAAAGCTGATGTGCTGTGATTGTACAGCTGATGTGTTGTGATTGTAAAGCTGATGTGTTGTGATTGTAAAGCTGATGTGTTGTGATTGTAAAGCTGATGTGTTGTGATTGTAAAGCTGATGTGTTGTGATTGTAAAGCTGATGTGTTGTGATTGTACAGCTGATGTGTTGTGATTGTAAAGCTGATGTGTTGTGATTGTACAGCTGATGTGTTGTGATTGTAAAGCTGATGTGTTGTGATTGTACAGCTGATGTGTTGTGATTGTAAAGCTGATGTGTTGTGATTGTACAGCTGATGTGTTGTGATTGTAAAGCTGATGTGTTGTGATTGTACAGCTGATGTGTTGTGATTGTACAGCTGATGTGTTGTGATTGTAAAGCTGATGTGTTGTGATTGTAAAGCTGATGTGTTGTGATTGTAAAGCTGATGTGTTGTGATTGTACAGCTGATGTGTTGTGATTGTAAAGCTGATGTGTTGTGATTGTAAAGCTGATGTGTTGTGATTGTAAAGCTGATGTGTTGTGATTGTACAGCTGATGTGTTGTGATTGTACAGCTGATGTGTTGTGATTGTAAAGCTGATGTGTTGTGATTGTAAAGCTGATGTGTTGTGATTGTAAAGCTGATGTGTTGTGATTGTACAGCTGATGTGTTGTGATTGTAAAGCTGATGTGTTGTGATTGTAAAGCTGATGTGTTGTGATTGTACAGCTGATGTGTTGTGATTGTAAAGCTGATGTGTTGTGATTGTAAAGCTGATGTGTTGTGATTGTACAGCTGATGTGTTGTGATTGTACAGCTGATGTGTTGTGATTGTAAAGCTGATGTGTTGTGATTGTAAAGCTGATGTGTTGTGATTGTAAAGCTGATGTGTTGTGATTGTAAAGCTGATGTGTTGTGATTGTACAGCTGATGTGCTGTGATTGTACAGCTGATGTGTTGTGATTGTAAAGCTGATGTGTTGTGATTGTAAAGCTGATGTGTTGTGATTGTAAAGCTGATGTGTTGTGATTGTAAAGCTGATGTGTTAGGAATGAACTGCTGATGTGTTGGGAATGTACATGTATAGCTGATGTGTTAAGAAAGTATAACTCTCATGTTGTGTCATATGGTTTCGATTTTACCGTCAATTCTACCATAATTCTACTGGCTTATAAAAACAGGATGTCTTCAGCAGAACCTCAACATACTTTATTGAACGAAATGTCATTCTCTGAATTCAGCTACATCCCTGGTCAGTTACCGTCCCGCGTCCTTCTCCCTGGTGTCTCTACTGGCCAGTATGTGCCTGTGTGTCGTGTCCACCTTCTGTAAGGAGCAGGGCATCACTGTCATAGTAAGTGTATTCAGTGTTTCATCCCTGGTCAGTTACCGTCCCGAGTCCTTCCCCCTGGTGTCTATCCTGGCCAGTATGTGTCTGTGCGTTGTGTCTACCTTAAAATAATAAAATCCTGCCCAACTGAAATTCTGAAATTCATTTCGTAATGAATAGTAAATTAAATAGAACAGTTTAATTCAGAGAGGAGATCCGTCAACGTTTAACTCAGTTACACCAATTGGTTATCATTTTGTCTTGTGTTCACAGGGTATATGTAGTGTTTATGACATCATCATGGTGTGTCGAGTCCATCCCGTGCAATGGCTGTCAAATAGGAAACACCGTGTCAAAGATAAGGTAAGGAATGGAGAAGGAGTGCGATAAAGGTCCAACAAAGGATTACTTCGTACTTCTATGTTGAAATCTTTTCGCAAGGACATACAGGACATACAGATGCCCATGATAGTTTAGTTATTTGTTTTGTCAGCAATGTGATTGTCTAAGTTCAATATGAAACATTTTCCAGAATTTATTCAGTGATGAAAGGAAATATAACTAATGTGTTGAAAAGAATGATCTACTCTGTACTGGCAGGGTGATCTGCTTGTTTTATACAGCAACATTCCCTTCCTAATGTGTTCTGGTATTGTGATCTGTAGGTCTTGGCTTCGAATCCCAGATTTGCTCACATTACAATCATTAGTTATCAGCAGCGCACCATACCCGTGGGTTTCAACAAAACAATGATGTTAATTGGTATTTTACTGTATTTTATTTTGTTTTATTTTGACACAATATTTTACAGTTGATATATTGTTCAAATTAATGTTAAGAATTCACTCAGTTTAGTGGCACTTTATACATTATCAAATCTGCTTTGAATACGGTTGTTACGATGTTTGCTACAGCAGGAAATGAATCTCTGGATCAAGGGTCTCCTCGTGCGTCACCTCATCCTGTTCCTGACTGGCGTGTCACTCCTCTTCACTCGACTTAGAATCAATGGATTTGAAACACCAAAATTCACTTTGGAAGACAATCCACATTCGTTTGTAAATGGCACTATATCGAAAGTAAGTACTGTACTACAAACCAGCAGATTGAAGAAGACAATCCTCATTCGTTTGTAAATGGCACTATATCGAAAGTAAGTACTGTACTACAAACCAGCAGATTGAAGAAGATAATCCTCATTCGTTTGTAAATGGCACTATATCGAAAGTAAGTACTGTACTACAAACGAACAGATTGAAGAAGAAAATCCACATTCGTTTGTAAATGGCACTATATCGAAAGTAAGTACTGTACTACAAACGAACAGATTGAAGAAGAAAATCCACATTCGTTTGTAAATGGCACTATATCGAAAGTAAGTACTGTACTACAAACCAGCAGATTGAAGAAGATAATCCACATTCGTTTGTAAATGGCACTATATCGAAAGTAAGTACTGTACTACAAACCAGCAGATTGAAGAAGACAATCCTCATTCGTTTGTAAATGGCACTATATCGAAAGTAAGTACTGTACTACAAACCAGCAGATTGAAGAAGATAATCCTCATTCGTTTGTAAATGGCACTATATCGAAAGTAAGTACTGTACTACAAACGAACAGATTGAAGAAGAAAATCCACATTCGTTTGTAAATGGCACTATATCGAAAGTAAGTACTGTACTACAAACGAACAGATTGAAGAAGAAAATCCACATTCGTTTGTAAATGGCACTATATCGAAAGTAAGTACTGTACTACAAACCAGCAGATTGAAGAAGATAATCCACATTCGTTTGTAAATGGCGCTATATCGAAAGTAAGTACTGTACTACAAACCAGCAGATTGAAGAAGATAATCCACATTCGTTTGTAAATGGCGCTATATCGAAAGTAAGTACTGTACTACAAACGAACAGATTGAAGAAGAAAATCCACATTCGTTTGTAAATGGCACTATATCGAAAGTAAGTACTGTACTACAAACCAACAGATTGAAGAAGACAATCCACATTCGTTTGTAAATGGCACTATATCGAAAGTAAGTACTGTACTACAAACCAGCAGATTGAAGAAGATAATCCACATTCGTTTGTAAATGGCACGATATCGAAAGTAAGTACTGTACTACAAACCAGCAGATTGAAGAAGATACTCCACATTCGTTTGTAAATGGCACTATATCGAAAGTAAGTACTGTACTACAAACCAGCAGATTGAAGAAGATAATCCACATTCATTTGTAAATGGCGCTATATCGAAAGTAAGTACTGTACTACAAACCAGCAGATTGAAGAAGACAATCCTCATTCGTTTGTAAATGGCACTATATCGAAAGTAAGTACTGTACTACAAACGAACAGATTGAAGAAGACAATCCACATTCGTTTGTAAATGGCGCTATATCGAAAGTAAGTACTGTACTACAAACCAACAGATTGAAGAAGACAATCCACATTCGTTTGTAAATGGCACTATATCGAAAGTAAGTACTGTACTACAAACCAGAAGATTGAAGAAGACAATCCACATTCGTTTGTAAATGGCGCTATATCGAAAGTAAGTACTGTACTACAAACCAGCAGATTGATGAAGAAAATTCGAATTTGATTTTAAAAGTGCACACATATACTCTTTTAAATGCAATTAACATCGATAAAGTAAATTATCAACATAGTCTAGGGACATGCGATAACTGTCATTCACCATGACTTTCAATATGTCACTGAAACCAATAAACACAACTGTGAGTCTCTCCAATAGGGGCATTGGTGGAGATGTTCAAATAGTGAATAATATTTTCAACTAATATTGATCTGTTCCAAACGGTTACCATGTTCATGTTTAATGATACATAGATCATATCTATATGGTGCCTCGTTGCTTCACATTTCTAACCTTATTAGTTATTGTTATTTGCCGAGACACTAAAATGGATCACTAAGTTCAAAATATTCGAAACTATATAACACATAAATGAAGGACTGATCTTGGATAAATCACCTTGAAACTGTCCCTTGTGGAAAAAAGGATTCAAAGTTGAATACCATGTGTTATTTCTTTGCCTGATATATATTTATGTTGCAGATTTTGAACTACAATTACATCTATGCCATCAACGTTTGGCTGCTGTTGAATCCATGGTGGCTATGTTGTGATTGGTCGATGGGCTGTATACCTGTCATCACCTCATTGGCTGATCCCAGAATACTGGCAGACATAGCTCTCTGGGCTGGGTTTGGTGTTTTGTTCTGTCATTGTTTCCATGGTGAACTCAATAGAGATCGAAGGTATATATATGATTTGATATAGATGATTTCAACATACAAAAAGTTCTTCCAAATTGAAACACTGTCATTTACATAGTCTATACAATTGACAGGTAGTATTTTCTCTAAGTAAGCTGGTAAACACAAAGTTCAGGTCTTATAACGACTTTTAAAGTCCAGTGGTATAATGGACAATGACGAAGAAGCATTTTCAAGACATTTGTAAGATTTCTAATAAGAGCAAGACCTTTGCCAAATGTTTCTTAAGTGATGTGAAAAGGCACTGAAAGTGGCCTCCTAGTGTGTCACAGATTGGCTTGAAGGGCTTTTATGACACTTGCAATTCTTGAAGTGTACAATTCCGAATATCATTACACAATAACATCATTACATCAAACACAGCAGGACGAACTGGATTGTTTTAGAGATCTAAAAATGGATGTTAGGTCCTTAAATAAACCATGACAGCATTTATGTAATGTTTCACCACAAACTGATCTCAGTGCTACGCCGCATATGGGTTACAGTCGAAGCGTTACAAAGTAACTCTATGTTAATTTATAGGACAATAGTCAAAGTTACGATTGCGTTGTGGGACGAGAGCCGAATTACTTGTATACTGTAACAAATACCCCAGGAAGTCCCCTACATTTAGATGTGATTTCTATCTGCAGGATCCTGATAACCTCTCTGGCAGTGTTGGGTATTCCCTTCCTGCCCGCCAGCAACCTGTTTTTCCGTGTGGGCTTCGTGATCGCAGAGAGGAACCTGTACCTGTCCTGTGCTGGCTTCTGTATGTTGGTGGTGCTCGGGGCAAGGCAGATCTGCCATCAACTGTATCCCACAACCAAGAAGGTAAGGTCCCAAAGTGCCTTGATAAGTCGAACTAAAAAGATAATGGTAACGTCACCTACACTGACAAGCCAACACAACAGTCGATGACCACATGGGTCATTCTACTGTTAATCATACGTACTTCTTGAGACGTCCCGCCACGATTCCTGGTTAGAATTGGTCGTCAGCAACCCATGCTTGTTGTAACCACTGTAAAAATGTCTGGACAAGTACCAGCAGCCACACACACACGTGCATGCATGTCACTATATAAGTGTAATAATCTTGGACGCGACGTTAAATCCCATTTCACCTAACCTCATCTTAGCCTGAACATCCTGCCATGGGTCGAAGCATCCCTTTCCAACATTATTTCCGACCCTGGAAGATTCGGGGTAGAATAGGTCTTCATCAACCTGTGATTGCCGTAAAAGGCGACTATGCTTGTCGTAAGAGGCGACTAACGGGATTGGGTGGTCAGATTAAGTGACCAGTTGCTTAGATGGATGTTAAAGGTGTAAATCACTGGATTGCCTGGTCTACACATGATTATTTACAGACCAATGCCATATACCTGGAATTATGATGAGTGCGGCGTTAAACAACAAAAACTTCGAGAGACATATTCCACAAGTAGATAAAAGAGAACGGTGTTTTACAGTAAGCCAATGAGAAACATGTCCCTTCGTCAGAATTGGTATATGTTTACCTGAGGCCAGACACAGGAAAAATGGTCACATTTGAGATAACATTTGTTGGGGTGATGTTGTCTTTTCGAATTAGGCGGGATGTACTTTTTGTTCCCCTTCATCGTGCTGCATGACACGTAATATCCCAATCAATGAAGGTTACGCTTTGGCGGATAATTGTCTGTTTCAAGATAATTCTCCGTAATGCTGCTATTAATAGTAAATCAAAATGACGCAGGAATGTTAATTACATAACACCAGGAATTCACCAGCCAGGCATTGATTTGCCTACTGTCCAATTCCAACGTCGATAACCATATGATGGGGGTAGTCAGAGGCGGATCTAGTATTTTGAAAAGGGAGGTAACTTGGTGTGCAGTTAATATGTAAGGTGTCTGGAAAAAGGGAGTTGTGCTTCCGTGTAACCTATATATCGATTGTTAAACACATTTCACGCTACTCATTGTATTGTAACATGGTGCATCGGTTTCATTGACCGGTATGTTACACAAATAAACAATGGTTCGATTCTGAGGTGGTATACTTTCTGTCTGGGCTGTATTCCCCATGCATATGGTAAAGATCTATTATCAACACAGCATTGTAGTTAGAAATGATTTTACTCATTAAATGATAATGAATAGTACTAAAGATAAACACAATTCAGTTCACTCTGTTTCAGTAGTTTGAATTTCCCGGGAGAAGCTATCGACTTGAAACAAAATAGTTTAGATTCAATTTGAGTATAACAAGTTATCATAATGTATTTCTGTGTTACAGTGTGTGTCAGTCGGGTTTATAGTCATCATACTGCTGTTTCTTCTACGATCGATGGAGGTGAGTCTTTTAACACATAGTTGATAGATAATGAAGTACAGTTGTATGCTTTAAATATCAGTTCAATGTAAAAAGGGGTACGGGTGGCCCAGTCGTCTAAGGCGCCGCGATTCGCTGTGCAGAGTTGCGTCCCTTGGGCACGCCAGAAACCTATGATTGTGGGTTCGAATCCCGGTTCGCCCCGATTATGTTTCTAGGTTTGTCAGCACCATACCCGTGCTCGTGGGTTTCACCGAAGTGGTAAACGTCTGAGACCTGCATCACTTCGGGCTTTCCTCCCACATTAAGCTGACACGCCGCGATATGACTGGAATACTGTTAAAAGCGGCGTTAAACCAAACTCACTCACTCACTCAATGTAAAAAAGTAGAACCCCCGGCCTCACGCTCTCCTGAAGTTCTATCCACTAGACCACGGAGGCGGTTCAATATCAAACATCTGCACATCATTGATCCTGCTAGCTCCATATGTGAACACCATATTGATTGACCAATGGTTGAATAAATTAAACTGAAGGTGGGATAAATGAACGTATTCTTTCAGAGGAGCAAGGATTTCAGGGGAGAAGTGGCGTTATTCACATCTGGAGCCAACGTGTGCCCCCTGAATGCTAAGGTAGATACTATACCAACAGCCTGTTATAAAACAAGTCGCGATTTCCTGAGTAACTTCAGGAAAATAATAAATAATTCTTTGGTCTTCCAAACCGACGTCATATACTTTGTTTTGAAGTCGGTCACATTTTATTTTGTAACGTGAATCACTCCTACAGCAGCAAGGTTTTTTTATAACATGCATGGCCCCGTTTGTGCATAATATAGTACACTGATCTATAAAAGTTGGCATCGGTAACAGTTAAGCTCTCAATTCTCCTGCTCGTGTTGAAATTTCGACTTATAGTAAACTTGAACGATATGAGGTCTTCAAATAAACGAAATAGCTAGCCCCTAACACTTTGATTAACGTGTTTGTAGATTCACTACAACATTGGAAACGTCCAAGATAAGAACAACAATACAGATATTGCTATTGGTGAATACAGGCTAGCTTTAAAGTAAGTATGTAGGCGTGTACCGTATTCGACGCAATAAGCGCCCAGGGCGCTCTCAAAATTAGAAATAGGGGGCTCTTATAAGAATATTATTTTGATGAAAAAATTCAGAGTTAAAAGATCGCAGATTTCGTGGTTTATGCTGACAGCCTGAAATGTTTATATACGACAGATATATTTTTCCAGGACTTAAATGCCCATAATTAAGGGTACATATAACACACGAGTGCATATTATACACGAATAAATAAGTCTTGTGTACATTGATCAATCGGAAGGAGTGCTAATTGAGATTGTTCACTAGCCAATTTATTAGCAAATATCGCCGTGGGCGCTTATGAGAGCGGGGTGCTTATTACGTCGAATACGGTATGTCATTATAACGACATAAGAAGTATCCTGGCACAAATTCTGCACCAAATGTTTCTAAATTCTATTTCTTTCTCTCTGTTTAACAGTAATTTGGTCCAGGGTTTCAAGAAGTAAGAGGGGCGGGCGGAATGATAAATAGAGAATCTCACCCGAGTGTCGAGATATCAAATATATCAACACGAGTTGATAAATTTGACTGTCACATATTCCTACTTCTTTGATATTTCGCATTCATCTTTTAATTAAATGCCCAAATTACTTTGAGGAGCTAGATTTAGCAACTAATGATTGTCTGTCGCAGGTTCTTTTGACAATGTTTCGTAATAGAGTGAGTGAGTGAGTGAGTATGGTTTTACGCCCCTTTTAGTAATATTCCAGCAATATCACGGCGGGGGACACCAGAAATGGGCTTCACACATTGTACCCATGTCGGGAATCGAACCCGGGTCTTCGGCGTGACGAGCCAACGCTTTAACCACTAGGCTACCCGACCGCCCGTTTCGTATTAGAGGACCAGGTGGTAACAGTGTGTGAACGGGCTCACTTTACGTCAGCGTATATGTTATTGGATCGTT